GCGTCGGTTACTCTGGTTCCTTTGAGGATATCCTCATTACTGATTCGATCTCGCAACGAAACTGCGAGCATAGCCCTTTCCATTGCCCTTTGAGTGACCTTCAGTTTTCTTATGAGGCCCTATAAGGATGTAGTGAGGAGGTCATATAAAGCGTAATAATAAATACGACCTGTTCCAACTAATTATGCAAGGAAAGATACAGGGGAAACGACCACCTGGAAGAAAGGGTACTTCGTGGCTTAAGAATCTCCGGACATGGTTCAACCTGAGCACAAGATCCTTGTTCCGTGCAGCTGTGACTAAAATACAGATTTAGCCCTACTGATAGCCGACCTCCGGTATGAGATGGCACCTCAAGAAGAAGGTGTGCATGCTCCATCGTCGACCTCATCATCACTTTCCACCACGTGAGATGGAGGTCAAATGCGCACTTATTCATTTTATAAAAAAAAAGACTCAACTGCCATTGCAATTTTTAGCAGAATTCCGAATACTGTCATAACTGCGATAGAATTTTAGAGGAGTCTCAATGGAATGACCAGTAGTTTATTAATAAATTTAAGTTGTGACCCTGGTGATATAATATATGTCGGAGTCAAGTATCACTTCAAACGTAATGATCATGGTTTCATTGTTTACAAACGTCACGTCAGTTTGACGGCTCAAACTGAGTGAGGTCACAGAGAAGGTGCGGTCGGTAGTTTGAATCTGTTCAGTTAAATCAATGATCTGACGTGATCCTACGACATAATCATCGAGTATATAACCAGAAATGGAGACGAAATAATGGCCATCTATCCCTGGCAACTGATCAGGCAAATGGGCCTTGTATCATTTTTAAATATCAACTCTCGTTCGCGAAATCACAAATTAGAAAGCTGAAATAGTACAGCGCCAACAACTAACCTGTATGTATTCCAAAAATATTCTGTATTTATTGTAATAAAGATAATATCTCTAACAATGGGGGGCCGTTCCATTTGGTGGTGTGGGAAAAGCAAAACATCTATTTACAAAACAAACGGAATCACATTTCATCAGTAATTAAATATGTAATTTTTCAATTAACGTCCATTACAGCAAAGTTCAAGTTAAACTGGACGTTTGAAGTGAAACAATTGACGACACCCGTCAATTGTTTCGAATGCGCGCTGGCCAATCGGAGTGCAGTTGTCACAGTAACGATTTGGCAGAATAGTTTTCAAACAAATTAAATGACATTTCGTCTCTAATTCTGGTTATATACGCGATGGTGAAGGCCTATAAACGAGCGCGCATTGACAAAAGGGTTTTTTGTGTAAGTTGCTTGGGCAGTGATGACATTGACTTGGCGTCGCTCTCTGTGAATTTGCTGCATGACAAATCCATTTTAACCTGATGCATCTCTTGCACTTTCGAACTAATTACTGTGAATAGTGGATAAAACAACTAATTGCAATCAACTGACTTTATTATTTCACTGCCGGCTGAACAAATTGAAACCAAAGAATGAATAAACCAATTAATTCTAAGTAATTCCTAGCTAAAGCGGCGTTGAGGGTGTTTCGTTCAACGTCACCCTTTCCGGCATTAACTCCTTTAAAAAACAATTAAAAAATTAAAATCTTGTAACGATTATCTCAAGGCTGAACGAAATATAACGGAAAAAACGCATTCGAATTTATTCACGTGCAAATCAGTCGACATTTGTTAATTCAATCGTTCATTGGTTAAAAAATCGCTGAATTTGTATTCACCTATTTAAGTAGGAAGCGAAAAGATAGGCTAGTTGGGAGAATATTTTGACTCCTACAAATGACATCGCGGGTTCCATTCTCAAGGAAAGACCTTCCACCGCATGGCCTTTACAGATATTTTAAAGTTTAGTTTACTAGTAAAAGTGGTGGTAGCCCAGTTCGAATCCCTGTGGCAGCTTGCACCCATGACTTTAACTTTTATGTTACGTAGCGAAAGTTTAGTATCAATTCTTCTCGCCAACGGTACAGGAAAGGAAAACAACGAGAAAGTCTTTCTACTTCTTCCTTTCTATCGAGGATGGGTCACAAACCTTGGAAAATTGGAGAACCGTGCCTAACAGTGGGATGTATATTATGTTGTTGACGATGATAATGATGGTTTGCTAATTATCACTTGCTCAAAAGGCGGAGTAAAACATTCTGATTGACTCAAGTGGATCTTAATGGAACCAATCACACTCTTTCATTGAATTAATCACAACATGATTACATTTATTAATTAAAATTGTTGCTGCAACCATCGTGCTTAATAGATATTTTGAGAGTGATATATTGATTGATTTCATTAAGATCCACTAGATCACAGTAGTATTTTTTAAGGTTAACTTGTACATTCCTAATGAAATAACCCTGAATAATAGGAATTGAAATTAACTAGATAATAATATTACTTAAAGTAATGTAAATTGTTTTCACATTGTAGAAACAAGCACGATGATTGCCTGACAGTAGAAAAGGGGTACTATGAAAACGGGACAAAAATTTTGAATTAAAAAATGCTATAAATGATTTTAGATGCGTGTTTCGGAGGCTTGTCGTTATAATTTTTTTCTAAATTTTAAATCTGTAACTTAACCTGGTTTCTTCCTTGTTCCTGGTTTGTTTAAGTCTTATGTATCCGAGACAAACGTTTATAACTACAAAAAAAAGGAAGTTATATTCTGCCGTCGACTTTTGCGGCAAGTGGCAAGTGGTCAAACATCCGTTTTAAATAGCATAAGATGGAGCTCTAAATTCTCTATTTAATAACAGGTAAAGTTATTTAACAAGTCGGACATATCGAACTTACTCTAATTATATACATAGCTAAAATATCATTAAACATGGGTCTATTTATTTATTTTTATTATATCACATTATGTTTATTATATCACAAATATGTTTTGTGACGTAGCCGCGTTTCGTATTTTCACAGCTTCAAATTGAAAGCTGCTTTTTAACTTACTTCAAAAAAGCAGGTTCTCATTTCGACAGTATTATTTTGCGTATATATAACGCGGATATTCGGATATATATGGACCGATTTCGATAATTCTTTTTTTTTTTGTTAAAAAGGTGGTACCTTAGTAGTAATCCCATTCAAATTTGAAAAAAATATTCTACCTCTAAAGCTGGCAAATTAGGGTATGCATCCGATTTATTGGTTTTGGCAAATAGATGTAATTCGACGAACTTTTTAGATCGATTTTTTAAACTTAACTGCCTCCGTGGCCGAACGGTTACCATGCCGGACTGCCACGCAGAGGTCCCAGGTTCGATTCCCGGGCCGAGAGAAATATTTGTATGGCCTACAATTATTTCTCTCGTGAGTTTGGGTGTAATTTGTGGTTGTCTATGTGTGTGTCCATGGCACCCGCGACACAGGGTTTCCCTAGTGCGGGGCTATGTTGAGTGTGTGCGTTATTATTATTATTATTATTATTAAATAAAAAAGCTATGGCTTTTTGAACTTCAGTTTTGGACACGTCTTTCAAGCATTGTTAACTTTCTATACAAGTTTGTTATTATTATTAACATAAAGAAAAAACCTTACGACCTGACTGGGCTTGATACAGCGTCTATTGCCACACTGGGTCCCGTGGGCAAGGGACTTTAGTTACAAAGTTAGACAAAGAGATGTATAATTTTGAGGTATTTTTTTTAATAAAAAAGTTATAATAACAGTCATGTGCATGTTAACATTATAAAGCTGTGTAAATTTACATTATAATAATTCTACTTATTCATATTTTATTTACACCATAGTCTGTTGTTTTCTTTAAACGTTTAATGGTGGTTTTAATGTACTAGGGAAAGTAACGTACCTATACTTTGACATACATTTTCTTACAATTTTTAGGTTCAACTCCGTTCTTCGTTCGGTTCGGAATTGAGACATAATGCTAATTACAAAATGTATGATACCGTGCGTAATTTCAGCCGCGTATTTTCCGTTAATTTTTTTTCCCTATTTCGACATAACACTAACTTAATTAATAAATAATAAACAAATATAAGACAACGTCACAAACGTTGCTCTGATTCCAAAGTAACTAAAGCATTTGTGTGGAAATCGGAAACAACGACGGTACCACAAACGTAAATCCGAGACAATACAAGAAAAGTTAGTTTTTCTACACTGGCGACACCATAAAAACTGGTGTGCAAGTCACTTGACTATGGAGGTCGTCAAATAAATTCTTTTATTTTTATCACTTTTTCGAATCTAAATAAATTTAAAAACACGTTTCATTATAGGTCTTACCCCTGTTAACAGCCAAACTAAATCCACGCTAAGCTCGCCTTGAACATTCAATAACCTTTTTTTTAAATAAAAAATTATCTGATAATTTAAGCATGTTTTATATTAATAAAAGAAGACCATTTATTTTTACATGATAGACCGCCATCACCGTAAACAGACAAACAACCAAATAATGACATACAAAACACAGTTAACTTCCAAATGTTACACCTCAATTCATTAATATTACTTATTTCTTCACGTTGAAAACTAAACTTTACGTGAATTGCGAATAAAGACAACATTTGAATGAAAACGAACCGATAACTAACTTCGCGTAAGCTAACTTTAGTGTACCTAAAGGGGTTGCCATAGAAACTCAGAAATGTACTGCGCGCGCAATACTCACACTAACCTAAAAAGCACACATCTACACAATTCTCCCCTTAATGTGCGAGAGAGACAAAACACAACCGTACTATCGATGAGAAAAGCAGCGTTTGAATATAGAAAGCTATTCTTTGTTCCTAATTTGCATGATAAAATTCGTTACATCTATAACATATTATTGTATTTACAAATTAAGGTTCGAAATTTGATTTTTATACCAAATATCCGAGTCATTCTTAATACTCTGTAAAATATTAAATGGGAAGTTACAAGTTCTCTACCGGCCAGTACGAATAGCTCCATCCCTTACTATCGCACTTCATTCGCGTATACAACAACACAAACTAATGTGTGCGTGTTTTATACCACAGATTCTGCGCGATGGACCCCAGTATTCTCGCAGCCATGGACAAAGAGGCACTGAAAAAGCAGATCGAAAACATGAAGTACCAAGCGTCCATGGAACGCTGGCCGCTATCTAAAAGCATTGCCGCGTGAGTAAAACATTCCATTTTTAATTTTAAAATACGAACGCGTTTATAGTGACGTGAAGTGTAATTGCAATTAGGGAATACGGGAGTGGTTCGTGTTAGTGCATACAATTTTGGTGCTTTTTTTAATAAGGAATGAAGTACATTTTTGCGTGGTTTAAACCATCAGGGCGTTTTGTCGCTGTACGCAATTTTTCTGTGGTTACATCGCCGTATAATACTGGGGATTTGCGAAAATCATTATTCAACATGCTACTCGTTAGTACATTGGTGTATATTTAAACTGTTTGGTTTATTTCAGTCAATACTGACGTTTTCCTGTGGGTGTATGAGAATTTGCAATGGATTTGTTGGGCCGTTTCTAGATTTAAAGGCATTGTTTGTGTTGCTATGATTAGATTTTTTGTTTATATCACGTGTACTTTGATTTATACATTTGATATTATATATTTTTCTTCTTGAGCACAAAGCTAAGCTTATTCCTGGTAGTGCTTTCATAATGTATGATTTCTTCTAGACTTCTTGGTAAGATATCATATTTTCCTTCTATGATGATATATGTGGCCAAACTGTGTAGCTTAGACAGATCTTCTGTCTTCTTCTTCCTCGTTTCTTTTCAATCACTGTTTTGATAAGTTTTTCCATCATCTCTCTTATAACCATCATCGCCTCCATTTTTATTTAAACCACTTTTGGTTATATCTTCATATTACTGATATCTATACAAACCATTTAACAATACAAAGATTCTCTTCTTAAAGAACATCAAGCATTACCCTCGCCCTCGTGAAAAAACTCATGTCTTCATATTGTTTGAATTGCATTCTATGACCTCGAAGTCAATGTAAAATATCTTAAACATGAAATGAGAAGTCTCCAGTTCGATTTCCTCAACGTCTAGTCACGTTATCAAATACAGCTGTCAAAACATTGAAAGCAAGCAACCAATATCGCACTATATAATATTATTAACAATAATACTATTTCGTTTATTTGCTTAAAACATGGTATAACAGATGTAACAAAAAAAGCAATGCCAGTACAAACATGTTTTGCACGTATCAAATAGCATACTAATGTCTAGTTATAAAACGTTAATTGACTACCACATTTAGTTAACATATTAAATATGTCAAGAATCATAAAAAGATCAATACGTCATGATTGTTTATGTATTTGACAATACATAACTTACCACACTTCGTGCAAACTATATATTTCCATAATATTACGCCTGTATCCTGGATAGTTAGACATAAACTACTGACATTCGCTTGCCTCGATCCTGACGTACTTCTTTTGCAACCTTTATGGACATAACTAATTTCGTACACACTGGTCCACTCCAGGCATTTTAGTACTAATTTTTTGAGACATCCCCTTTTTAAAAAGATATTGCTAGTAAATTCTTCTCAATTGGTCTGTAAGTCTTCACTTAAGCTTTTATTATGTTTCTTTTCTAATCTAATAACTTAAATAATTTCATACTAGTGTAATGCTCACAGATGGCAATCAGTCCAACGTATAACGACATACCAACAAAATCGATTAGTTTCAGGGGCACCGTGTTAAAACGCCATTATTTTCCTGATTCGTCGTGCAATAACAGCATATTTTATAACATACTTGGTCTCTTCTTTTTGTATTAAGTTGGATTTTTTTTACTTATCATGAGTCTCCTTCCACAGTTCACAATAACCTTTATGGATTGTAGTTCATATGTGGTTCATCATCTTTTTATAAAACTTTAAATACTAATGGGCCACATTCAATTATTATTTCATTCAACTAAACAGTTATATCGATTATCAATGTGTGCGAGACTATGGTATTGACTTACCTATATTTATAGGTAATCGTGTTTAACAAATTTATCATTTAAAGAGCATCTGTTTTTGCATTATATTAATCACTATAATGAGCTGTGATTAATGAAAAACACGCTTCTATTGTTTATATTTTCCTTCTTGTTATTACGGAACAAATCAATGGATAATAATAGTAATTTTCCTTGTTGTTTCATTACGACGCACCTAAATGACCCAGCGGTTTAGATTTAAATACCAGGGGTTCGATTCACAGATAACCTATTTTAGGAGCCGAAATTTTAGACATTCACACATTACACAGTACATTCTCTAGACACCAAAGCAGGTAGATTAATGTATTTTTTATTTTCCTATATCGAAATCGTTTTATTTAAAAGTAACAATAGCAAAGGGTGATTGAATAATATAAGTCGACGTAAAAGGTACGTAGCAAATACTGAAATGTAAGATATTTTACATGCAATACCTTCTACTAGACTGTATTTCTTAGGCACGTATATTATAGTATTCATATGGACCCTTTACCACTGCTAATTATACCATAAAACTGATTTTACTACCGATATCTGGATCAATCAGAAATCAATATAACATTAAAAGTATATTTTATTCATTAATTTATTCATTCATTAATAATAATGAAAGTAATTAATAATGAAGATATGTAATCAATCACGCTGACAAAAGCAAGATTCCATAAATATTAATCCAGTAACAGATAAATAAGACTAACATTGAACTACCTTAAATGAGAGACTAGAGTGCATACTAGGTAACTAGATCCTTGTAACAGATTTCCAAGCTCCTAGCGCTTTATGATAAACAATATGGTAATGGCGTCGTAATAACGATATCAGATACCAATAAAAAAATCTGGTTTTGTTGGTACCGCGTAAACTGAAACACTATAAAAAAACGATGAACGTAATTTGAATTTGAATCTATAGAAGGCTTCCGATAGCGATCAGCTACCGTAATCACATCAAGATGAGGAAAGTGTTATATGATGTGTAGTGCCTAAGTGATTTTAAAGAGATGTCAAAGTTTGCAATTTACTTCCAAAGCAATGTTTACTGCCTGTTATTCACATTACCAGCTATCGTCAAACGCTAGTAAAATCTTATCAAAGTCAAAATCAAAGTTCCTTTCTTTATCTTTTTGACCCTTAGAACACTTATGCTCAGGTTAAGTTATAAAAACTACCACTTTTATCTGCAAATTTAAGTGCTGTCTAAATAACGTAAGGTACAATTTTCAACAAAGAATTTTGACACCGTCATCACATCAGTGCAAAAACGCCATGGTAGCCTTGTGGTGGATGTGAATCCAGGAATTTGTGTGTGAAATTGAATTTGATATTTACCATTTGCTTTTCGGTGAAAAGAAAACCTCATGGTGAAACCTGAACGCCGAAGATGGGTCACAACCCCCGAAAAACTTGTGTACTCCCCCAACCCTTACAGAGTCAGCGTGGTAGACTATGGCCTAAACCTTCGCCTAGGAGGAGAGCTATACCCAACAGTTGTACGTATAAACGGGTTATATATATTATATTTTATCACACTTGCATATCACGTATTTAGGTATGGTAGGGCCAAGGTAGTTTGTCTTCATTTTTATGTCTAATTCAACACAGCAAACATTAAAACCCTATTAAAATCGGTCACATCAACTACATCTAGCTAACATATTATTTATACCAAACTCTACCGAAACTCTTTGAAATTCACAAAATGGTATTCCCTTGTACAAATTACGCAGCAATGTATACTAAGAGCAAAGATAGCTTAGTTAGAAGAACGCTTACCTTGAATTCGTAATACTTTAAATTATATGGGGCGTTCGTCAAGGATCTGTCCTTGGGCCTTCATTGGCTATTGTGTTCATCTACGACTGCAATAATTTATAAATAAGATCACTTACAGTGAGTTGCATAAAAGATGTTAAAATTTAATGTATCACAAACTATAACACTGCCCTTTACATTATCCAAGCAAAACTAGAGACAGCATATTACGTAACGGAGCATTAAAATTTATGAACGTCTGTGCAATTAAACGTTAATTATTATTTAAAAAAACATCGTTAAATTTGTGTATCTATATAAGATTCAAGGTTTTTTAAGCCTGAGAAAATTTTGATAATCATTCTGGTGAATCGTATTTGACCAAATTATTGTACAACTTGTTATTCTTGGGACAAATAAAGGCTGATGTTTCACATGCAAGACGTGGGAGCTTAATGGTTTGACCAACCGCCTCTTAAACAAAGGGTTTTGGGTTCGAATCCGAGAAATTTCGTTCAATTTGAAATTTACATTTACAATTTTACCTGCACATATCTGCAAAGTAATTTAATGATGTGGGCAAACAATCTGTATTGAGACCACGTAGACACTATAGCACTAGCCCTTTCATTATGAGAGGCGCCCTGTGCCCAGTAGTGGGACTATATATATATATATATGCTTACTACTTCACGTACTTGTCAGAGAATTAGTAATGGTTGCTTGCATTTGCCAAGACGCTTATGTTATATTATTAACAAATAGCAGCCCCTGGAATCCGTATCTAATATGATGGTTTGAAATGTAAATTGGTTACCTGTGAAGAAAAGAAAGATGAGAGAAGACAGAAGAAGATAGTAGAGAAGAGATGAAATATGAAAGAAAGAGAAGAGATATCGAATATAGGTAACTGCTGATTGAAATAAAGCATAGATTTATAGTTGGGGAATTTGTTGACAACATAGAACAATAATTAATTTTATGCTCATTAAAAATGTTTACAACTTGCCTTCAGAACACTATAACGGACGTTCCTTTATATAAACGAATTTGATACGATTTTAAACACTGTCATCTTCAGTATCATGAACTCAACAAAGGCCTTCGGTCAAAGTCCGCCACACTAGTTCAACATGGGTTGGGGACTTTACATATTTATCAAAGATTGTGAAGCTTCTTCATGATGTTTTGTTTCAAAGTTAATAACAGACAGAAGGCACATCCTACGCTAAATATAAGGATATGCTGCCACAAGAAATTGAACCGTAGACCTTTTTTAATGATACCAAGTAACCGGACGAATAAGTAGTGCGCCTGGTTAAGCGATACGTATGTCTCGCTCAGAGCTTCTAATCGTAAAGATCTGACCCCTGTTGAAGTTGACAAGT